TACCAGGGCTTGACTAATTCTGCTCACGCCCTCTACCATGACGCCCATGGAGTGGTCACGTTTCACGGCGACTTCCATTGCATATGTCCCCTATCTGCTGCGGTTGCGCAAGGGTGTCCCTTGTCGGGCACGATTTGGGCCATTGCAGTGGACGTCATCTTCCGCGCGCTCGGCTCACCGATGGGATCAGCTGACGTGGGTGCCGCGGCTGTGTGCGCTGATGATCTGGGCCTACATCTCAACCGACTACGGGGTTTACCAGCGCTGCACTCGGTCTTCAGTGCCGCCGCACGTCTTGGGCATCTGCAGCTCCGCTCAAAGAAATGCGTCATAATCCCACTGTGGGCTGCAACGACGCCGCAGGTACAGCAAGAAGTTCGTTGCGTTCCTCGCCAGCAGCATCCCTGAATGGCAATACTTAGACATCCAAGGTGTTGGCACTTACCTCGGTGCGAATATTGGGCCTGCGGCGACGAATCAACTTCAGTGGCAGGCGTCCTTCAACAAATGGTGGATGCGTATTGTGGCGCTCTCCATTACAGGAGCCCCCACAGATGTGCTGACCAGGCTTTACCAGACTTCCTGTATCCCGGTCTTCGGCTACCTCATGCAATTCTTCGACTTGCCACGCGAGATTTTACCTCGTGAAATCCACGCGCTCCATCGAGTACTCCGGCTTCTTCCCAACACTATGCGGATATTGTGGCACTTATTACCTGATTTCTTTCCCCGACTCCACATGGCTCGGTGCCCTACAACATTGCTTCTTTGTGGCGTGCGTCGCGACACAAGATCCACACATGGCGTCAGTACCTCGACTTCTTGAGCGACGCTGCCCTGGAGCACCTCCCGCAGGCGTCGCACATTCGGAGCCGATGGTCGCCTACGTTCTGCCAAAATTCGGCGATCGTGCAATGATTTGCCCGTGTACAGGAGGGGCTCACGGGCATCCCAACCAAGATTGCGCCTAGCCTAATGCTCCAGACCATTCGTGACGTCCAAAAGCAGCTCTCTGAGGCCACTTGCGATGGGCCGCGGCCACGTCCGCAGCGGGTACCGTGGCGAGTTCTCACCCAGCTCGCCCACCCCGATCGTCTGTGGCACACACTCTCTCTAAGAGGATCACCGCGTAGTTTGGCTCAGGTGTCTTACCTCGCGATCTCCAGCGGCGCTGGTTTCATCTGCGTGAACATCTACGTCAGCTCTCTGCGACTTGGCGCTGGGCTGTACTCGAAACACTTTGTTGGGGATGGCACACGACACGTAGAATGCATGTACGACCCGATCGGACGCGTTGTCTCCTGGGTTGTGTTGAAGCCGATGCCATCGGCCACTACCTCCAGCGTCCTTGCCTGGCCCATCTCACTTGTTTGCCTCGTACCTTCACGCACTCGCAGCCACCCTCACGCATTGGGCTCGGGGCAGCTACCGACCACCAACTGGCGCCAACACATAAGCGGTCCCTGCCGAACACCATCACGCGCCTAGTCCTGACCTACTACATCGTCCTCGAGTTGCGCCATACTCAGGCTGATGTTTGGAAAGGCTCGCAGTACGATTCGCATCTCTTCGCTATTCGGGCAGCCCGTGATCGTCGCCAACATGGCGCACTTCCGAATCCAGCGCCGCCTCGACCCCGCGGAGTCACGGCTGAATCGTCTCCTCTCTTAAGGTTCATTCGCCCAAAGACGACACGCCTGGGCGCCTTGTTGTCGAGCCGCCGTCACACTCTGCTGCGCCTCGCGGCCGCGTCTCCCACGTCATGACTACAGATTCTGCTGACGTTGTCGGCTCTGCTGCGCCTCTACTTTCACGGCCACCTGAATTTCCTCATGACGAATTGCTTGGACGATCTGTTGCCGAGCCACTGTCACACTCTGCCGCTCGTCATGGCCACCGCTACCACATGATCACTACATCTGTCGCTGATGATGCCATCGCAGCAGTACCTGTACCACCGCGGCCTCCTCAAGTTCTACCGCCTCCTCTGGAGGCCACCATCACAGGCTCCTACTGTGAGCTACCTGTACCATTCGTCAACAACGAAGTCGGCCTCGACTATCTCCCGAACGTGACAGCGGTCGGTGAGCCCCCCAGCTGCACGCTGGACATCGGCATCTTTCACGTGGAGCTCGTCGGCCAGGTCTGCGACGACGGCCTTGTCGCCGAGGCGCGCAGCCAGCTGCGCCTCCTTACCTAAGGCGCCCCCCGCGGTCTGCGGCGGCGAGGCGCGAAGGATGGACTCGTCCCCTCAGGTCACTGCTGCTCCTCCTCCTCCTCCTCCTCCTCCTTCTCCTCTATTCGATTCGTTTGTTGAATCCGCGGGGTGCGCCGCAGTCGCTAACCTTCTGCGGTCGGAAGGGAGCGAGGGCGTCGAGCCGAAGACGCGCTGGAGTCGCCTAAAGCGAACAGAAAGTAGAGGGATGCGCGCACGAACCTGCGGAGGGAGGGATAAGAGCAGAAATCAGGACCGGAGAGGGACCGAGCGGAGCAGAGGCAGGAGACGAGAGCCAGACAGCAAAGCGGAGAGGCGGAAACGGAGAGGAGAGAGGAAGAGGAAAATAGGGACAGGGGAGGAGAAGCCAGAAGGCGGAGGAAAACGAAATAGGAAGGGAAGAAGCAAGAAAAAGAGCACAAGGCCAAGAAGCAGCGAAACCCGAACGGATACGAACGCGACAACCGACCAGGGAGAAGAGCGGCAGCACGAACCGACACGACACGACGACGACCACGACGAAGACCAAAAACCACGACACAGTACGGCAAGGAAGCGACAACAACGGAAGGACGAAGACGACAAGGACCAGCGCGGCGGCCCCTCCTCCCCCTCCTGCTCCTCCTGTTTCCTCCTCCTTCCTCCTCCTGCATCTCCTCCTCCTGCTCCTCCTCCTCCTCCTCCTGCTCCTGCTCAGCCTCCTCCTCTTCCTCGTCCTCCTACTCCTGCTCCTCCTCCTTCTCCTGCTCCTTTTCCTCCTCCTCCTCCTCGCTGCATCTTGGGTTTGCTCTGGTTCTCCTCCTCCTCCTCTTCCTCCTCGCTCCTCCGCCTCCTCCTCCTCCCTCCTCCTCCTCGCTCCTCCTCCTCTTCCGCCTCCTCCTCCTCCTCCTTCCTCCTCCTCCTCCCTCCTCCTCCTCCTCCTCCTCCTCCTCCTCCTCGTCCTCCTCCTCCTTGTCCTCTCGAGTACTTGATCCTCCCGTGGCCATAGGGGGGGGGGTATGCCGCGGCTCGGTCCGAGTTTCAGGGGGCCTGACTCTTGAGGAGGCGGCTGAATAAGCGAAGAGGGAGGAGGAGGAGGAGGCGGAGGCCGAGGCCGAGGAGGAGGAGGAGGAGGAATCGGAGGAATTGGAAGAGGAGGAGGAGGAGGAGGAGGAGGAGGAGGAGGACGGGGAGATGCAAAAACAAGGGGAGGGGTTAAGATGCGGAGGGGGAGAAAAGGAGAGGGCGTCATGGAGTAGGACGGGTTTGGGAAGAGGAGGAGGAGGAGAAAGAGGAGGAGGAGGAGGGAAAACAAAATAATGAGATAAGAATAGTATCAATGATGAGGAAGATAATAATCACACGAAGCAAAATAGTAGTAGTAACAGTAATAATGAGGAGGAACATATCACGGATATTAAGAATAATAATGAGTCAACTAATACGAAGGATAAGATTAAGAGTAATAATACTAGTATTGGTTGTATCCCCTATCTAGGCTCTGCCTAGAAGGGTTCTTACTCTATGTGCTGAAAGGGCCGGGGAGTGTAAAACGCCCTGGGCGGTTCCTCCAACATCCGCCCCGCGGATCCCCCAGTTACGTCCCCTTAGTTTAGCGTTGCTTATCTCATCTTAGCTTAGTTTATTACATCTCAGCTTAGCTTAGCTTCATCTTAGCTCAGGTTATCTTAGATTAGCTTACCTTCATCTTAGCTTCGATGAGCTTTAGCATAACATAGCCAAGCATAGCATAGCATAGCATAGCGCAGCATAGCATAGCATAGCATAGCATAGCATGGCGCAACTTAGCATAGCATAGCATAGCATAGCTTAGCATAGCACAGCGCATCATGACATAGCATAGCTTAGCATAGCATAGCACAGCACAGCATAGCATAGCGCAGCATAGCATAGCATAGCATAGCATAGCGCAGCATAGCATGGCATAGCATATCGTAACATAGCATAGCAACTGATGCTGCGTTCCTAGGGGCTCTAACTTTTAAGTAGGGTCGCACTGGGGTAATTAATGCTACTTGAAATAATAATAATAATAATTCTAACCATAATCAGAAGAAGAAGAAGGATACGTACCCAAACGGCCCCTGTGGCCGAACACAATGGGCGAAACGTACGAGCGCCTGATGCTCTGACCTGTGCGCGGGCAGGCCACTCCTCTCCTCCTCCTCCCCTCCGCCGCTGCACGCTGGGCCCAGCTCGAGGCAGCCGCGTCATAGCGCCTCCTGCCGCCCCGCTACGGTCAGGAGCTGTGGCGTGGCGTGTCGCTCAGTCGGTGGCACGTGCTCCGGCACACGCGTTCACGGACTTCACGCTCTGAAGGTGCCCCCCTCCCTGTCCGCGCGCTCCTCCCCTTTCCGGCACCACCTGTGCCCAATTCGGCCCCGTCGCATCCCACAGTTGCCCCGAACGCGGTGAGGATTCTCGCTGCTGCCGACAGTAAGGCGCTCCAGCGGTTCTGGCCCACCGCGCTTCGGTGCGGCGCGCTAATCACGACCCGCTCCGCCGGCGTCAGCTTCCCGATCCTCTCCCGAGTCTTCCGCCCCGGGGAGCGGAGCAACACGCTATCAGCTCGCAGGGCATAGCGTGTCGCTGTGGCCGCCTCCACGACACGCTTTGCAAAAGTTCCCGACCGTAGACGTTGGCGGGCCGTTGCGCAAGAAGGCATAGGAAGACATCTCACATCAAGTTTGCGACAAGCGTTGTAACCGGCTGGGTGGCCTGGGATATTTGTGTTGACCGACCCACCTCCCAAAGACGCTCAATCGGGGCATGGTGCGCGTCTAAGGCTTGCTATCGGAGGAGGAGTTCGAGAACAGGTACGCCGCCACCATCTCAACACTCGAAGGACCTACTCGTGTTCTTTCCTGGCTGCCCCCTCCCCCCGACCATACCATTTGTTGATGCAAGGAGGGCAGCACATGAGCCAGAGTCCAGGAGACAAGGATTGATGGCGACGCGGGAGACCAGGAGGAGGAGGAGGTGAAAGAGGAGGAGGAGGAGGAGGTGGGGATGGGGGGAGGAGTAAGAGGAGGGCGGAGTTGATAGGCATATCCGCGGAACTAGCATGATCTACAACAGCGGTTCAGTATTTGTTAGGGGGTCGGGAGGGGGGAAGTGTCCAATGCACGAAGTGATCTGGACTGATTGTGAAGGCCTTACGGCCGGCGCCGCCGACCCTGAAAACGACGACAACGAGGCGGAGGAGGGGGAGGAGGAGCAGGAAGAGGAGGCGGAGGACGCGGTGGAGAATCAGAGGGAGGAGGAGGAGGCGGAGGAGGATGAGGAGGGCAGCAGGGGCAGGGGGAGGACGGGGGGGGGAATGAGCAGTAGGAGGACGAAGATAATGGGACTCGGAGGAGCAGGAGAAGAAGGAGGACGTAGAGAAGGCGGAGGAAGAGGGGCAGGAGGAGGAGGAGGAGAAGGAGGAGGAGGAGGAGGAGGAGGGGGAGGAAGAGGTCGAGGTAAGGTTGCGGAGCACCGGGGGAAAAGCACACGGGGGAGGGGGGGAGCATGATGATGATGCTGATGATGATGATGATGATGATGATGATGATGCTGATGCTGATGCTGATGCTGATGCTGATGATGATGATGATGTTGATGATGATGGTGATGATGATGATGATGATGGTGATGATGATGATGATGATGATGATGATGATGATGATGGTGATGATGATGATGATGATGATGATGATGATGATGATGATGATGATGCTGATGCTGATGCTGATGATGATGATGATGCTGATGATGACGATGATGAGGATGATGAGGAGGAGGAGGATGCGAAGTAGGGGGATGAGGAGAAAGGAGGAGGAGGAGGAGGAAGAAGAAGAAGAAGAAGAGCAGGATGAGCAGGAGGAGAAGGACGCGGTGGAGCAAGAGGGGAAGGAGGAGGAAAAGCATGCGGAGGAGGAGGAGGAGGAGGAGGAGGAGGAGAAGGAGGAGGAGGAGGAGGAGGAGGGGGAGTTGGGGCAGGAGCATGTCGAGGAGGGCAATGAACAGGTGGAGGACGATGTAGACGAGGCGGAGGAACAAGAGGAGGAGGGTGCGGAGCAGGGGGAGGAGGGGATGCTTGTCGGGGTCTCTTCGGAGCGCTTTCGGGAGCCTCTGGTGAGCAGTTTAGGGGTCGTTTTGGGAGGTTATTGGAGGGCCTCTAGGGAGCCTCTTGGGGGCCTTCCTGGGAGCGTCTTGGAGGCCTCTTGGTCTTGGAGGCGTCTCGGGCCGTCGTAGGGCGTTCCTGGGCCTTGTTGGGGACTTCTTAGAGGACTTTGGGCCGTCTTGGGGCGGTCTTTGGGGCCTCTTGAGCCGTTTTGGAACGTTGGGAAGCGGAAGAGGCGAGAATGCCAAAATCTTTCGGAAGTTTCAGGGACATGTATGGATCTTGCATCTTGGGGCCTTCTTGGGAGTGCTCCTGGAGGCCTCTTGGGGCGTCTTGCAGGCCTCATGGGCCGTCTGAAGGCCGTCACGGCGTTGTGTACCGATCGTTCGGTGATTAGGGGTTCTCTTGGACCGTCTTGGGGACCTCTTCGGGCACTCTTGGCCCGTCCTGGAGCTTTTTGAAACCCAGGAACCCCGGGGGGGGAGTCTTATCTGGATGGCGACCCCCCCCAGGACCACCCCCCCGACGCGGGAGGGATCAAAGGGACGGGGCTTCCCTTCGACTGAGTTACGACGTTGCTCAATTTCGCTCTGGCTGGCGCGCTTGAGGAGGAGGGCCCAGGGAAGGGGGGGGGCAGCGGCAACGGGCCCAGAAGACTGGGCGCCGCAAGGAAAGGGGACGATAGGGACGACTTTAATAAATGACGGAGACGACGACTCGAACGGACAAGCCCCTCACACACGCCGACAGGGTCGGCGGATTTATCGATGTATTGTTCATGTTGCGCTGGATACTCAGGGTCAGGAAATACAGTAGTGTTCTGAGAGTTGTGTACAGCTCAGAGGCCCAGAGTCCACCGGTGAGAGCGAATGATCAGCTTAACCTCCTCTTCCTCCTGATGCTCTGTCCTCATCCTGCGTCTGCTGCTCCTCGCGTTCCAGCTCTGATCTGACGTCGGTCTTGAGGGTTGGGGTGGCACCAGCAGGAGACTACGAGGAGATCAACTCCGAGTTCGGTAAGGTCGATGGATGAGGAGAAGCAGCAGCAGCAGCAGGAGCAGGAAGGGGAGGAAGAGGACGACGAACACGAACCAGCAGGAGGATGTGTATGCGCGGACAGCGCGAAGTCAGCACGTGATGCCAGTTGAGGTGCTCTGCGTTACAGGCAATGTGAGCAGGTTTGTAAATTAGCGTGCTTCGCGCTTGTAAGCGGCCACCAAGCGATACGAAGCATTGAGCGGTGAAGAGATCACCGAAGAGGAGGAAGAGGAGTAGAAGGAGGAGGAGGAGGAGAAGTGAAGGAATAATGGAGAACTACATCTATATAAGTTTAGATCTACCTGCATATATTTATGAATAGAGAAGGACGCAACATGAAGTAATCGAGAAGGAGGAGGACGATGGGGATTGCAGGAGGATGCGGACCAGGAGATAAGGAAGAGAAGACATGGAAGAGGAGAGGAGGAAGAGGATGAGGAGGAGAAGGAGGACGGGAAGTAGGACGGTGCAAGCCCCAGTACCGCTCTGGCTACTCCACGCGCAGGTGCCCTTGCAGAAACAGTCAATCGTAGCACCGTGGACCGTTATGGTGTCTCCTCGCGCTCTATACTCATCTTCCTGCTCCCCTTCCTGCTCCTTCTGGCTGGCCTGACGGCGCCTTCACGCAGCCTGGCGCCTGCCCTGGCTGCGCTGCTGCCGCCCGCTCGAGCTTGCCAGGCTTGCGTCGGAGCCGCGCCCGTTGCAACGTGCACGGTCGGTTGGCAGCAGCTGGGCCTGTGGTGGAGCGCCATTTCTTGTTTTGGATCTAGTCTCAAGCGAAAAAGAAAAAGAGGCTGCGCGACGAGCACTGTCGACGACGAGACTGGAGGCGGAACGGAGGCGGAACGGAGAAATGCAGTTCACCATGGGGGAATCAAAGAAACCCGAGCCCACCCACCCTGCCCGCCTATCGAGGCCAATATGACACGTGTAATAAAGGGGGAAGAGTCCTCTGCGCTCCTCCCGTGAGGATGAGGAGGATGAGGAGAAGGGTGAGGAGGAGGAGGCAGGGGAGGAGGAGGAGGAGGACGAGGAGGAGGAGGAGGAGGAGGAAGGGTTCAGCCGACAACGATTGCGAGATCATCAAACATGAACAAGTTTACCTACTGTGCCTGATGGCGCATCTATCACTAATGGCGGGCGTTCTAACATCGAGAACGTCTGGCTCTAGTAGCCCCGCTTGAGGCGCTTACGGTCACGGACATCATCTCTTCATTGTCTCCCCCTCATCTTCCCATTATGTTCAAACTCGATCGCTTATGATATAAAAGTATGTGTATAATATATATATATATATATATATATATACATACATGTATATATTGTCATTCAGGCCACCTCCACACACTCTTCTTGTGCAGCACGTACATCCAGACATATGATGAACTTGCTGCCCTTGCATTGCTGCAATGCAGCGTTTACAACGCCGTCAGTCACTTCCGCACGCACCCCTGGCGAGGGACACCGACAGGTGCGAGGCCACCACGCAATGGATGCGAGAGAGCGCAAAAAATCATCGCAACCCCACGCGCGCTTTCGACGACAGGTGGAATCGCCCGCGGCAGGACAAACTTATTCCTCACATCCCCCTGCACTTGTCAGAGTGCGCCCGTATTTGGCCATAGGCAACATCGGCGACAACGGCACTGGCTGACGTCGACTCTCCGACGCGACTCCCGACTCTCCAGCCTTCGGCGCCCGACTTACTTTACCCCTTCCCCCACTATCGTCGTCCAGCCTCCACCTCTCAGCATTCCGACTCACAGTGCTTTGCGTGAGACTTTCGTCCACCTGTCGCCCCCCAGCTCCCACCATCTTGGCACTCCGACCTCCAGCCCCACCTCTTCCCGTCCATCTGCAGCTTCCGCCAGCTCCGCACTGAGGCCTCCAGCCTCCAGTATCCGACGTCCCAGTTCCATCCCCGTCCGACGTGGCAATCGTTTCGACACCACCTATGGCCACCGCGCCATTTATTCGCCCTGGCGCCAACTCCGACACCCCGGCCCCAAGATCTATTTCAACCACTTGCTCCGACAGCGCTGCCGACGTTCCGCCCACGGAGGGACTGCATTGCACCATCATTGGGTTAGGAGGCCATGCGGGCAGTTCTTCCGACACCAGCTCTGACACCAGCTTTACAGGCTATAGCATGGGGAACCGTTCGCTCTGACCTCCAGCTCAGCTCCGGCGAACTCCGGCAGTCCGCCGTGAACCATGCTTCCGACTCCAGCTCCGACTCCAATTTTGGCGCCTGCTTCGACTCTACCTCCGACTCCCCCTCCGACGTCTGCCCCAGCCCTGCCCCCAGCTGGCCAGTCCCATCGTTTCATTCATTGGCTTGCGCCACACCGCCGACCCCTTGGGTCGGCAGCAATCGTCCCCCGCGTGGCCTGTCCGGACAGCCTGTGAGGCCCCTCAAGACACTTTTTGGAGCCCTCTTAAGACCGTCCTGCCGTTCCCCTGGGCCGTTGCTATGGTTTCTGGGGCCTTCGTGGGGTGGGGCGCCCGGAGGCCGTCGCGGAGCCTTTTGGAGAGTCTCTTGGGGTGCCAGAGGTCGATCTTGGAGGTTTCCTGGGCCGTTGTGGGCCTCGTGAAAGCCCAAGAAGCGAATGTGTTGAAAATCCACGTTTCCCTCCAGGAATGGGACGGTTTTTGCTTCTGGAGGCCTGCTTGGAGCGCCTCTCGGTCGCGTTTTTAAACGTCTTGGATTCCCATGGGGCCGTCTGGCAGCGATCTTGGGCGGTTTGGACCGAATCGTCCCCCGCGTGGGCCGTCCGGACAGCCTTTGGGAGCCCTCTTGGCCCATTTTGGAGCCCTCTTGGGACCGTCCTGCGGCTTTCCTGAGCCGTTGCTATGGTTTCTGGGGCCTTCGTGGATCGCCCGGAAGCCGTCTTGGAGCCTTCTTGGCAGCTTCTTCGGGTGACAGGGGTCGATCTTGGAGGTTTACTGGGCCCTTGTGGGCCTCGTGAAAGCCCAAGAAGCGAATGTGTTGAAAATGTACGTTTCCCCTCGGGAATGGGACGGTTTTTGCTTCTGGAGGCCTGCTTGGAGCGCCTCGTGGTCGCGTTTTTAAACGTCTTGGACACCCATGGGGCCGTCTGGCAGCGATCTTGGGCGGTTTGGACCGAATCGTCCCCCGCGTGGGCCGTCTGGACAGCCTTTGGGGGCCCTCTTGCTCCGTTTTGGAGCCCTCTTGGGACTGTCCTGTGGCTTTCCTAAGCCGTTGCTATGGTTTCTGGAGCCTTCGTGGATCGCCCGGAAGCCGTCTTGGAGCCGTGTTGGGAGCCTCTTGAGCTGGCGAGGGTCAATCTCGGAGGCTTCTTGGGCCGTTTTGCGCCGCGTGGAAGCCGAATGGGCAAACGTGGTGAAAATGCACGTTTTATCAAGGAAATGGGGCGATTTTAGCTTCTGGAGGGCCTCTTTGGGGCGCCTCGTAATATTGTTTCAAACGTCTTGGGGACTTCTGGAGCCGTGTGGAGGTAATCTTCGGCGTTTTGGGGCGATCTTTCGTCGACTCGTAGCTCTTTTGGACCGTTCCGGGAACCTTTGGAACCTCTTTGCCCCGTGTTGGGGCCTCCTGAGGCTCCAACTGTGCGGTTGATGGATTTGCCCCCCCCACCCCCCCACCCTCCAAACCGGCTGGACCAGGCCCCCGGGGGAGGGGTTTGGGGAGGGGGTAGCATCCCACACGCCGTGTCCCCAAGGGGTCGGCGGATTCTTTCGCAGCGCTGGCTCCAGTTGCGACTACATCCCCGACTCCTGATCCGGCTCCGTCTCCAGTATTTGCTCCAAGTCTGATTCCGAAACCAGCGTGGTGACGTCCACCCAGCCAGCGGCGGTGACCTCTACCCGGCCGACCTGGATACCAGCCCGAGGGGGACCAAACAGTACGATGCGCGACACCAGCAGCATCATTACCACCAGCATGCTGGCGCGTGCAACGCTGCTCGGGCCCAGTGCTTATGAGAACAAGGAGAAGCAGACAAATCTTGCACCCCCCCCAGCGACATCTACCACTGAATTTGTATCACATGCTGCTGCTGCTGCTGCTGCTGCTGCTGCTGCTGCTGCAGTGCCTCACACAAGACGACACCGTCGCTGAGGCACAATACCATTCTGGCCGCCACTTCCACCACCAGCGTTACCAACAAACACCACTACCACCATACCTTTCACCACCACCGCAACAATTACCAGCATCGACAGTCCGATTCCCGCGCTGGATCCGACTTCGGCACCTGCTCCAGTTCCGATGACCGACTAAACGGAAAGCATTGGAGAGCGTTACGACGGTTCCCCGGTCCACCTCCCTTGTCGACGCCGGCTCCGATTGCAGCTCCGACCCTTACGCCAGCTCCGACTCCAGCTCTGGACTCCCGTCCGAACGTCGCCGCAACAGCCGCCCCAGTTCGGAAACCGTGACATATTTGATCAAGATTTGACGTAGCGGCCTCAATTCCCAATCCTATAGGCCAAGCAGGCGTTGAGCTATCTGAGCAGCCGGCGCTCTCCGCTTCGCTTGGTTTTCTCTTGCCCCTCCTTCGTTTGGGCTGCCACCCCAAGGGTGCGTCCACTCTGCCGCGTCCCGCCCCTACGTTGTAGGACTCGGGTCGGGTCGGCCTTGCTGGAGACCAGTGCACTGCTTTTGAATACAACCTCTTATTTCCCCTCGTCTTCCTCTTCCTCTCCCTCTGCTGCCCCTCATTCTGCCTCCTGCTCTGCACGTGGCGTCGATATGATAGCGGGGGATTTGTGTCGCTGCCATTGCTCGCACATCCGCCTCTCGAACAGTTCATCCTCCTTCTAAGTTGTTTTTTCGTGCCTGTCTGGCGCACCTCTCTCCGTGATGCATTTGCACGAAGCATCTTCCAGTGCACCCGGGTACCGGGACTGTGTGTCCCATGCGCCTGCCTCCTGAGAGGACCGCCCCATATGGGTTGGAATGCGAGTCGCATCGCATCGTACTCGTGTCGGGCCAACTTT